ATTAATCGTAGTCTTAGATGTTTAGGATTAACGTTTAAATAGGTAGTAGAAGTAATATAATTAAGTAGTTAGTATATAAGATTATTAAGTAAGGACTCTATAATAATCGTCTGCTTAGTAGATTTATTAGTACTCTATAGCAACTTAAATGTATGCTTATCTTAATTAAGTATAGCATTAACTTTAAGGCTCTAAATACAGTATACCTCTAAAAGCTGTGTAGCATCCTATAGAGGAGTGACCTCTAGCCTATTAACTATACGTTTAAGGAGAGGCTTAATAGCGAATAACCTAATAGTAGTATAGATTAATATATACTTACTATAAGTAGTCTATAAGTCGAATAGGTTTTGTAGGTTTCGAGATAATCACAACTAGTCTATATTAGATACTACTATATCTGCCCCGGTATCCTTACTAGACTACTCTAGCGGCTTGTGTATACTAAATGTATCTAAACCTGGCGATCTGTTGTTAACAAATAGTAGAGGAGACGTAGAGCTAGATTCTTTAGTAGCTTTATCTATAAAGGATATATTAGGTTAATTACTAACTGTTTAAGGCTTCTCTAGGGCAGACTTAGCTAGATTAGTTACGTGCCTTTTTACTGTCGCTAGTCTCTAATCGTTACAAAAAACTAAATTGTTAATAGATAATTTAGAAAGTCGTTTTAACTAGCGCTTCTTAGTATCCTAACACTCTATTCTAGCACGTAGTATAGCTTACTATATACGATGTTCTATATCTACCTGTAACATCTAAACCCCCTGAAAGATACTATTATAGTTTCGAGTGTTTAGCTTAAGAAGGTAATATAAGTAGAGCGTATAGAAGTCGACTTTATTAAAGTTGTCTGTATTAACTACTCTACTAGAGTATTTTCGGTCGCTAGTAATCTTAGTAGTCATTAAAGTAGTATAGACTATAGCTAGCTAAGGCCCTTAGTAGTAATGATCATTGTTTTGTAATAGTGTAATGATTTTGTTATAGAGCTTATTAAAATTAGGAGCAAATTCTAGAGACTATATCTATTCCTTTAGAGCTATAATCGTCTTAAGCCCTAGTGCCTTTATAAGTCGCTTTTAGTTAGTATAAAGGTTTAAAGGGATTAGTCTAAATAAGAGGTTACTTAAGTCGTCGCTTTTACTACTTTTTAAAGCCTCTATAAGGGATCAAGTCGTACGGCCACCTACTATATTACTAATACACTATTAGTATTATAGCTACTAGAGATACTAGAGATACTAGAGACGTATACAGAATAGTTAGTAGAAGGCTGTTCTAGTAGTAGAGGCTGTTCTAGTAGTAGAGGCTAGCTACTCTAGATGTACGTAAGGTAGAAGGATTAATAATAGTAGGTAAAAAGTTAGATCTAAAGATTAGTAGTAGTAAAATAGGTAAGGAGTTAATTTGTAAGTTAGAATAGCAAGAAGGCTAACAGTAAGGCTAGGGTTGTAGTTAGGAGCCTAATATTTTAGGCACAAAAAGAACATTAGGTAAGGTAAGAAGGTAGGCAAATAAGGCAAGTACTAGTCTACTTCCTCTCCTTCTCTATACCTATCTTTTTACCTTTAACTTGTCTACATGTCTATATAAGGTACAGCTCTAAAACTATACATATATAGAGTACTATAAGTTACAGATCTAATCGATTACTAAGTAGGGCTAATCAATATACTACCTTAGGTAGTAGACACTTAGGTAATTACATACCGTACTCTTATAAGGCGAACAAGCGGTAGGCAAAGAGCCTTAGTAGTGCTAACACTATTATAAGTACGCGCGCAACTCTAGTCTAGCTCCTCTATTTAGATTATTTACCCTACCTTATAACTATATATTACCTATCATTACCTCGCTCTTTATATACAGCTGTGCCCTAAATACTATACCCTTTTACACAGGCCTTATTCTTATTATTTAGTAGTAGTAGTACAGCTATAATAGTGTCCTAAAACAAGAGGCCTACAAAACGTAAGGGACGCCTAATGTTACCTATACGACTAGTAAAGAAAGCTAGCTAGAGCAGATTAAGTAGATCGACTAACTAACTAGCTTTATAGCTATAAGAGACATAGCGCTATATAGAATTAATACTTAGTAGTAAGGAATATAAGGACAACAAGGATAATAAGGACGTCTAACATATACTAAAGGCACGACGTAAGAAGGTATGTAATTAGATCTAATAGCAAAATAACTGTTCTAACAAAGGCTTCTCTAGCCTACTTCTAACCCTACTAACCCTACTAACCCTTATGTCTCTATGCCAAAAGGTACTAACCCTAAATTTAAGATACCTTAAGCGTAGAAGGGCAACTCGACTACACAAGGAGCACTAGTAGTATTAAAGCCTAAGGCGCCTATACATCGACCTTCTCGACCTGTATCTTAGTATAGATCTTAGTATAGATCTTAGTATAGATCTTAGTATAGATCTTAGTATAGATCTTAGCCTAGATCTTAGCCTAGATCTTAGCCTAGATCTTAGCATAGATCTTAGTATAGATCCTAGCCTGCGTTTTGACCTTTATTAAACCTACGACAACTTGTATAAGATAACGAGATAGATAATAAATCTATAAATAAAGATTCGGGTCTAATAATGCTTCTCTAGTCTAATTCTAGAATAACAAAGAAGCCTGCGATTATTTAATATACTAAAGTAGAAGAAGAAGTATTTACTAAGCTTAAACTTAGAAACAGACAGT